ACCAGAGTCATGGGCACTGTCTGGATTTTCCCCAAGGCGTTTAAAACTATCAGGCTTTTGGACGGGACGGAAATTCCACACCGTTCCGCCTCGACCCGGCTTAGCGCAGTAATTTGTGCTCCGGTGTCAACCAAAAAGGTTACCGGTCTCCTTTTTGGCCCTACCGCCACCGTAATCAATAAATCCCCTCTGTTATTGCAGGTGAGCTGTCTTACAAACATCCACCCTCCGCCTCCCCCCTCACCCTGGGGGAGCGGAGGATTTAGTTTCCCACCATCTTCTTCCCTATTTCGTTCCCCCGCCAGATCCACCAAGGGTGGGGCGCTAGGACCTGGCCCAAAAGCGATTTCTCGCCCTGACCATCTTTGCACAAGCTGTCCTACCTTCTTGGTCGGGAGTCCATCCATGAGGTCCCGCCCTTCCGAAGCCCTAACTGCCAGAGTCCCTGCCGATTCAGGGGCTTTTCTTTCCCGGCCAGATCCAGGCTTCTCCCCGAGAAAGACAACTGTTTACTCACTGTTTCCGAGGCCAGGAAGAGACGACAATGGCAATGTCGAGACAAAACCAGTTCGTAGCGGTCTTCTATAGTTAGTGACGCAATTTTGAATTTAGACAAGCTCTCTAGTGGTCTAATGACAGTAAAACTTAGATGCAAGATCTCCACAAAGTTTTGCTATAAAGTACGCATAACATTCCTTGTGTTTCTGAATAGTAATCACAAACACTTGCGATTTATTCTTAAGGTATAAGGGAAGGGTATAGTCTTCTACTTTAATATGACCTTAAAAATGTATTCTATATATATTTCCCATTCCTGATTTGCCAGAACAAAAGTTAGGACTCTTGTTTTAGACACAGTTAAATGGGTTACATTAAAAAAGCTGCAAGCTAAAGTATGACTGGATAGACAGCAGTTATCTTCTGTTGTGGATATGGGGCCCACTGTGTGGATACTCTGCCTTTAGCACAGCAAACCACAAGCACAATGTCTTGTTAGATCTGAACCAGAGGGCAACATCCATTTCAGCTCATCAGTAATTCTAATAAATGAAATGCTGTTGTCTCATATTCAGTGGGGTTTGCTTTATTCTTTGGAAGATGCTGTGACTGGTAGTTCTTAGCTAGAATCACACACTCACAAGTCCAGAAAAAGAGTCATTGGCTTTATTATCCTGATCAGTTATCAGGTATTTTCCAATTGTACTCTACTACCTAAGCACTATCCTTACTTATTTTTGTTGGTTTGAGTCACAAAAATCATATTTAAAATTTTGTAGTGGTATTTAGTCATACCCATCCCAGCAGTTTTTCTCTGCAGCTCCGCTCTGCATCTACCCCATGCTTTGATCTTTCCAACAGCCTCTTGGTCTACTTAACCTCTGCTGTGTGGAGCTTTTCGTTTTTTTGGATAAAGAGATTCAGATTTTTTTCCCAAAAACTTCATTAGTATGTCTAATTTCATCATGGGAAACTTGTATCCCTGCTTGCAATGCCAACTTTGAAGGTAGTACAGAACCTATGCAGTCTAAGCTCTTTCTGGTGTTCAGTAAATAGGAGCCTTTTTCTTTTCCTTCTCTTTATTCTGGCTTTCTCATCTCACCTTTGGTTATGACATTCTGATGATTTTTTATTTTTTTAAATGAAACTTTTTTAAAAAAAGGCATTTATGATGTTGCTACATATACAATTTACAGCTTATTTCAAAGCAACTAGGATAGATACAGAACACTGATGAAGATTTGTACAGGAAATCAGAATGATGAAGCTGGCTATAAGCCAAGTTGCATACGCTTACAGTCTAAAATGATTCATTGTGGGAAAGTAACAGGAAGACAATTGCTGAATTTTCAGAAGAAAGCATACTGGGAGTATCTCTCCCAAAACAGGCTGCAACAGCTATAAAAAAAGCTTTGTCTTTATGAACATTCAGTTATTACAAATGTAAAAGGAACTAAATATGAGAAAATACGTGTTTGTTTTTTTTTCCAAGAGTCATACAAAAATTTACAAGTAAGAGCGACATAGTGAAGAACAAATCAGTTGATGGAAGAATTTAAGTGTAATTTATACTGGACCAGCCAATACACCAAGTGGTGAACAGGGAAAGGAGTTGTGTTCAACAACAAGAACTGTATTCACCATTGCCCAAATTAGAAATGTGTGTCTAATCCTTCAGCACTTAAAAACAGAATGAGCTTTTTATGAGGACACGAACCTGCACTTTTACAATACAACTTCTGTTTCATTTTAATGGAATTCCTTCTGTTGTTAATCAGCAAGCAGCATACAAACTTCATTTATGTCAAACTCAGAAGAAGCAACAGGTTAGTTCTATGGTGTTTGGGGGGGGGGAGGGCATAGAGATTTTACCATCAGTCCTGAAGGAAAAAAACACACCCCTCCCCATGTCAAATAGGGACAGGTGGGCAAATTAAAACTTAGAGGAAGAGAGATTTACAGGATAGCAGGCAATCAGTCTTCTGGATTTTAGCTTCTAGACAGTTGAAGCAATAGAATTTTGAATTATTATCTCTAAATATAATTTAGCAATTTAATGACACCTTGAAACAGACTGATTAGATTTTGGGTGATGATACATATTCTGGATTTCCTAATTCAAAATTGGTTACAAATACAAACATCTGGGGAAAGAAGTCACATGTTAAAGTTATAGGCACCACTGGTTTGATTAGGAAAAAAGTCTTGGTCTTGTTCTGGTAACTATTTCCTGTGGAGCAGCCAATAACGAAAAAACATAACACATCCCCAAAGAAAGGGGTTTTAGTTTGAATGAGACTATTAACAAGACAGATTACTTTGTTCCACCCGGTAGTCCAGTAATGTTTTCTCTATTAGGATAAGATGCTGCAGTTATGCGTGGTCATAGGGTTCACCGTTCTGACAGTGTGGTATGGGTCACGTTCTGAGGATATGCTGTTTGCAGAGGATTTTCAAAGAACTGGCCAGAACAACAGCAAGCAAAAAAAAAGTAGGACAAACAAATCAGAGAAGCTACAGTAAGACTTCCAGTATTATTATAAAATTTGAATAATTATGGACTATTGGCTACAATGTCTCGTTTCTTAGAAAAGTCTTACTCCGTTGTTAGCATCTTCATGGTATTAGTTTTCAGAAGTCACTGCCAACTGTAAGAGCTTTACAGATTCACAGTACCTTTATTGAGAAAGACTTTTGTCCTGCTTTCCTCTCCTGCTTCCCAGTGAAGCACTGTCTTCCCACGTACTTTGCTTTGGAAATTGCTTAGTGCTATGGTGTGTTCAAATAAAAGACTCAGTTAAATATCTTCTGGTTTTAGATCTGCAGGTATTTTGCTTTGTCTCCTCCTTAGTCTCTCCTCTGGTTCTTTCCCTCCCAACTTCTGTGTTCTCTGCTGATTTTCCAGGTAACTGACAGGAATTTTTTACTCTGTTTCTAGTCAGTCAACTCCTACTCATACTGTAATGTTCCACTTCAACAACTACTCCAAAATAAGTAAGATCTCAGGATTTAGTACTACATTCAGTGCTGCACAACCAATTCTGCATTTTTATAGCTGTACTGCATTCACTGACAGTTAACATGGTACAGAAAAAAATGTTTGAGCTTTGTCTCTTAGCACAAGAGGAATTGTTTATTACTAGGCAAGCTCTGCAGAATGACACAGGGCACTTCTCAAAGCTAACAGGTAAGAAAGCTTTTCTGCATAGGTCAGCATTCTACATTTTTCTTCTACATTTTGCAGCTGAAACCTGCATAGGTGTGAAAATGATACAGATCATAGAACTGTAGAATCACAGAATGGTTTGGGTCAGAAGGGACCTTCTGAAATCTAAGTCCAGCCCCCTGCCATACGCAGGGACATCTTCAACTAGATCAGGTTGCTCAAAGCCCTGTTCAACTTGACCTTGTCCAGGAATGTGGCATCCACAGCTTCTCTGGGCAATCTGTTCCAGGGTCTCACCACCCTCATTGTAAAAAGTTTCTTCCTTTTATCTAGTCTAAATCTACCCTCCCTTAGTTTAAAACCATTACTCCTTGTCCTGTCACAACAGGCCTTGCTAAAAACATTGTCCCCATCTTTCCTGTAGGTCCCCTTTAAATACTGGAAGGACACAAGAAGGTCTTGCTGCAGCCTTCTCTTCTCCAGGCTAAACAACCCCAACTCTCTCAGCCTGTACTCACAGCAGAGGTCTTCCAGCCCTCTGAAAATTTTTGTTGCCCTCCACTGGACCCACTCCAGCAGGTCCATGTCCTTCTTGTGCTGAAGGCTCCAGAGCTGGACACAGGACTCCAGGTGGGGTCTCACCAGAGCAGAGGGGCAGAATCCCCTCCCTCGACCTGCTGGCCATGCTGCTTGTGATGCAGCCCCACGATACGGTTGGCCACCTGGGCTGTAAGCACACATTATTAGCTCATGTCCAGCTTTTCATCCACCAGTTCCCCCAAGTCCTTCTTGGCATGGCTGCTCTCAATCCCTTCATCCCCCAGCCTGTACTGATAGCAGGGGTTGCCCTGACCCAGGTGCAGGACCTTGCATTTGGCCTTGCGGAACCTCATGGTGTCCTGTGCAGGGAGAGGAAGTAATGACTTGGGGTTTTTTTTGAGGAAAAAAAAACATTTTCAGTTTTGACTTGGTGAAACTTGGACCATTTGCATACTAATACATTTGGATTTTGATAATCAGTAGATGAAGTCTTCTTAATTGAAAAATTCTTTGAAAGCAAGAATTCAAGCAGAGAAATGGAAGAGTAAGTTTTATTGATCAATGAAAAACTAATGGCATTACAGTTAGTTTCAGCTCTGCTGGAATACTAGTTTTCTAATTTTTCTGTAGCAGAAAGTGCAACAAATCAATTATTCAGACTTAAACAAACTAATAGTTGTTAATTCTCTTCAAAAACTGCATAGTTGAGCAGCTGTGCAACAAATATATAAATTTCCGCAAACCCCTGAAGAAAGATTTGATGTTTTTTTTGCTTTGAATTGGGTGGCAGAGGAGATCACTTGCACTGGTCAGATTCTGAATGCCTTTTCCCTTTTCTACCACTCTGTGAGAAAGAATTTAAACAAATCTTCAGTTAATATACTAGACATGACACTTTATATCTGCAGTTACTTTGTATATTAGGGTAGTACAAATTAATGAAAAAAAACCCCTCAGGACTTAAGTTGCATACTTTTGTTAAATTATACAACTATTATGGGACACAAACTCGTCTGAACATGAAACACTGTTATATAAATTAAAACAAGGCATTTAAAGGGTACATAACAGACGTTAATATCTAGGGATAAAACCACACTAGTTTATTGCTTTTTTTGTTGTTGTTTTTTGTTTGTTTCTTTGCTTTGAATCCACATACTTCAGTTACTGTTTTTTTGAAAGGCATCCTTATGTTTCAAAGCAGTATTCCATTCCCATGTGGGCCTCATGTTGTCAAAGACAAGACCACAAAAAGTAGTTATATACGAAGGGTTATACTAGTCAGCCTGCAGGATTACAGGAGAGAATAATAAAAGCAGAAACAATCCCTGCATGGAAGACGAGAGTTTTCCTAAAACAAAACACACAAAAACCCCACCCAAATTAAAAAAAAGTCAAATCCCAGCCAGCCAAACAAAAAAACCCAGGATGATGAATTAAGCAAGAAATACAGCAAGATGTGAAAAGATAAAAGCTTATTAGACTGGGGAAAAGAGCAACAGAATAGGTGATTTTGCAGTAATTACTAAGCATATAACAAGGACCATTTTTTGTAAAGTTTTTACTGATATTCTTTTAATCATATTTATTACAATTAACCACAAGATAAATTTATCTTATTCAAAAATTTCTATTTATGGAGAAAAACACTTAACACTAGCAAAGGCACGGGTGGGAGGGGACAACAAACAGAAAGACTGAAGTTGCAAGTCAGAACAGTGATATGAATGACTGAATTTGACAAGAGATTTACTTTAGTTTCAATTAGTGGTATACTCATACCAGCACAGCTTGTCTGTAGGGGACTGAACAAGCACATTTATATATTTGACAACTGCTGCAAGACAATTTTAAGAAGGAACTTGCTCATTTGCAGTAAAGTGACAAGGGTAAAAAGACAATAGAAAAAGACAAGAGATTACGTACATAACCCCATGTAGTGCTAGACAAAGAATTTGATGTAATCAGAAAAGATCTGCTGCTTCAGAAAGAGTAATTGGGGCTTAATAAGCTGGTTTTCACGAAATTACAGTATTCCAACAGTGTGTTGCAACTCGAAATAGGATAGCTTGCCAAAGAGTGCACGGCTACCTCAGAAGTTTCCATTGTATACTAAAGACTCTCCTTGCAACTTATGCAAAAGGTCACAGTCAAGCAAACAAAAAAACACCAAAACCAAACAAAAAAACCCCACAAATTTGTCAAGTCATGCACTAGTAGAAATTCTTGTTCACAAATACTATCACTCTTCAAAAAAGCAGTGTGTTAAGCAGCATACTGTTTATGCAAAAGTTAACTGAAATCCACTAACATGAGTTGCATTAGCAGCCAAGTTGAACAAGACAGCGTGTGCAGAGTCAGCAAGACACTGATCTTATCACTCGTGTTTCAACATAACTTGCTGTGAATCCCCTACAAAGATTTGGCTAGAGACACAAGTAAGATCCAGAAACAAAGAAAGAGTGTGGCAAAAAAGCCATGAAGACTACAGTTACTCCAGTTACACACAGACTTAGACAATGAAACCAACCTGTTGCTTGAAGTATGTTTATTAACCAGCATACTTCAAGAAATTTTAAAATACTAAATAGGTGGTAGACTTCGACTTGCCAAAACTGTGCTTTAGTTTTGCTACTGTCTGGGTTTTTTTTTTTCCCTAAAGTAAGAAAAACTATTTTTAACTGGAAAAATTAGAGCTAATAGGTCAGTTCAGACCATGTTACCTCATGATAGTCTCAGCTACATCAAGAACAGGTAAACTTAAAAACACAGAAAATAACACTACCTGATACTTCATTAATTCTGCCTGCAGCAGTTTCACTTTGGATCTTTCTTGCTCTAACGCAGCATGAAGTATAGTTACCTAAAAATATATAGAATATGAATTTATAAAATACCCTTAACGTCTGTGAGTTTATCAAGTCAATGTTGTTCCCCATTAGCATTGTGTTAGACAAACAGGTAATACATTTTGAGTTCAAGAGTGACTACCACCATCATTGTGCATGAACTGAAAGTACAAGTAAAATATTCTTAATGACTTATTTCCCAAGCAACACCTACTGGTTTACCTGTATAATGATATAGAAAAGCTAGAAAGTTAGAAACTCTTCCGACTTTTGGATGCTGCATTAGTTTGTTCCATAAAACACTTGACTGATGTAGTAGTATGAAACACAGATCAGCTTATTACATCACCCTCAAAAAATAATACTGTGTTATATGTAAGACATTTGGACAAGCCAGGGGCTTAGAACCAACAGTTGCTGGGGTCCATAAACTAAGCATAAAAGTCTTGCATGGTCTCTACTACAGTGACTTGCCAACTGACATGATTTGTAGCTCACTTGTGTTTGTAAACTTGAGACTAGCAATTAAAAAAAACCCCAAAAACACACCAACAAAAAACACCCAGGAAAGAAGCATGTTCTAAAGCACCTTTCTGAGCTCCCTAGCTTGGGTCACCAAAGAGTGATATTTTCTAAGGTGCTGTTCAGGGCAAAATAATTTCAGGCGTACTGAGATCTGCTGTCTTCCTAGAAACAGTTCTAAGTGAGTCATACTGGAAATTTACATAATACATGTCCTCTGACACACATAGCAGGGGGCTAAGGATGAAATGTAACATTTCTTGCTTCAAACAAGTTTTTGTTTCGGCTTCCTCCCTCCCCTGCCTCTATCACTGCCTTAGACAGCATCTTTGAAACACCCATGATGCTTCACATTTGGAAATCCTTGCTTACCTGTACAGTCAATTCATTTCTGATAATTTGAGATTCATCAGCCTGTAGGAGTATTTCTGCTTTGTCTTTCACTACAGAAAGAGAAAGATACAGCATGAGGATCTTTCTAGGTTTACAGGTCTTCATCTGCAGTAGCACTTGCTTTATTTCACTATTTTATTACCTCTAGACAATGCTGTCTTCGCAAAAAGAACAGCAGAATGTCGTAAGTCAAAACCAACTATTAGCTACCAGTGCTGTTAGTGCCAGCCTGAAAAGTTCTTGCAGTAGTTATCCCACACTTAATCCTGTAAGCAGCATGGATTTTAGAGATATCCACTGTGAACAAAGTCCATCAGAAAACTGAATATTTGCAATAGATCAAGATCATAAGTTTCACATACAAGCTCAGTCATAGTTATGGAAACTTCTATTTAGTCAGATACGGAGATGTTTAAACTATTTAGCTGTCTGTGAAGTATCTGCAGGTAACTTAAAATTCTCAGTATGAAGAAATGAGGTTTTTTTCAGGGCTCAATTATGCCACGAACTTTCTTCTCCCCAAAATATAGAATACCCGGTCTGTAGAAATAGACAAAATTGCTTGTTTTGTAGTATGTTACAGTTTCACAAACAAAGAAGAAACCTTCAGAAGTTCACGTCTTTTCTCTCAAAATAAAAATACTTCATCTTGGCTCAAACAGTGTCCTGAAGCAGTATAAGTTTCAAGTTAAAATTTGTGACACTCAGTCACATTATGAACATTTGAACTAGCTTAGAGATAGTTTTTGTAAACGTGCTTTAATGAAAAAAAGAGCTTTTTTTAGCTGAACACTTAGTCCAGAGAAGAAACCATGTTCAAGAGCTAAATTCGGAAACTGAAAAGCAAAGGCAATTTTGTAACAAAATTAGAGTGGCTACCCACCATAGACTCAAACAACTTCATCAAGGAAGATTAGGAATATTAAAGGATAACTATGCATTACAAGTATAAAGACACTAAAAAAATTACATATATATGATAGAATATTTACATATATATGAGTGTATTTTTTTCCTCAAACTTTGACAACAAATTCTGAATTATAAAAACTCTGAATAGTGTTATAACAGAAGAAATTTATCACACGTATAATCCTGCGGTTTAGCTATCCCTATTCATTGTTTGGCAAACAACTTGCTTGGTGTAGAATGATGTTTCCAACGGTTCAAAGCACAGCTTGCAGAGATGCAACAACTGAACAGTTTCCTCAATATCTGAACAGATATTATGATGCGGTCAGTCAAGAACAGATAGCTGTCACTAGCAAAGGAAAGTCTTGAAGAATCATTGTACCTAGAACGTAACTGAACAGTTTATATTTCAAAGAATGATCTCAACATGCACCTGATTATTTCATTATATAGCAACAGAAACGCAGTACTGTGTGGTCCGCTAAATTCTGTAGTTCACTGGAGTTGCTGCAAATTAATAGCTTTGTAGTTCTTTATTGCTGTCACTGAGTCAAGTTATCTTTTACAAAGCTGCTCTGAAAGTTCCTTCCATGTTTTAAAAAGAACTTTTAAGGTTCCTGGTAAAACTTTTACTTACTTTCACCTTCTTGCATCATCTTTAGAAGCTTTGCATTTCTTGCTTTTACTTCTTTATACTTTGCCTGTATTAAAGAGATTGAATTATTATATGTATATCCTACTAAAAAAAAAGTATTCTATAAAATAAGCATGACTAAGGGTCAGACTTAAGAGTTTAAAATTATGACTTCTGTAGAGAATCTAATCACAAAATCGTTTAGATTGGAAAAGACCTTTAAGGTAATCTATGTCTTCATTAAGCCACAGCCGAAGTAACGAATACACAACAGAAGTGGATGCATAACTGAGAGTCAACCAAAAAAGGCAAACACAAGGCTTATAACAAGTTAAAATAAGAAAGTTATGTCAGTGCATTGATAGTGCAGGAACCACCATTCAGGTCTGCCTGAAGTATACAGGCCTGTTGCATCAAAGGCTTTGTGGTTTCTCCCCTGAAAAATTACCACAATTATAATGCACTTTCTAGATACTGAGATAATAGAAATGGTTTGCCATATTACTTAGCAAGTAGGACAAGACCCCACTGCGCTACAGATTATTCTATTCAGCAATTATTGTTATCAAATTACACTTTCTTTCCAACTCTTTACAGTTTACTACTCAATAACATATTTTTGCTGTTTTTTCCATCTATCTAGTATCACCACACTTTCTTCATGGCCTTAGTTGGCCACCAATGTCAGCTCTAGCCATGTATCTTAGCCGTAAACTTATTCTTCCTATCACAAGTCTCTTCATACAGGTTGCTCTTGTAGGGTATTGAAAAAAAGTTTCATTTCAGACATACTGTTTTTGTTATAAAGATGCTACTATCTTCCACTCTGAGTATCACACTAGTCCCTGAGGATGATTAACTTACAATTAAGGCAGACCTTTCATGGCCACCTAAAACTGTATTGAGGTCTCTGGACAAGTTCATAAAATTTAAGCTGTATCATTGTTCATCACCTCACCAGTATCCCTATGCATCGTGTTTATTCAGTCAAATGTGATGAAGTGTGAATACTGGTAATTACGAATGGTTTTATAATTCAGAATTTCACCTGGGGATTCCAACTTCAGTACATAGTCAAAAAAAGCTGTTAACAAAGTTCATGTCTGTATTACTACAAGTAAAAGTACTTCTTTGAAGCATCAGAAAACTCCAATCTGTCAACCCGATCAGCCTACCTTAAGCAATGAATAAAAATAGTAATAAAATAATTTAAAATAATTCTATACTGCTTTACTGTATTTTGTTACAGTGCCAGTTCCTCATGGAAATTTTGCCCTTTTTGCTCTAGATACTATCCAGACAACGCTAACATGGACTGAAAACAGGGAGACACTTTCCCTAGCTGCTCTGGTATATAACAATACCATCTAATTATTAACGAGCAAATTTCTTTTTCCTGTTTTAGCATATGGTGAATCTGATTTCCAATTTCACTTGTATGTAATAGGAAAAGATACAGCAAAATACAGGACTCCATTCTTGTTACGCTGCAGCTTTAATGGAACTTCTCTTAAACCTGACAAAATATTCATTGATTTCTTTAACTGTGTCAAATATTGGACTGAATCTGCAAAAAATCCCAAAAATGTGTAGTTCTTAAATTCTACTCAGCTGTTCTTGCATTTAAAAAATAAATAGGTTGGAAAAGACTCAAGAAAGTCCAACTTCCTGGTCAAAGCAGAGCTGACTTCCAAGGCAGATCAGATTGCTCAAGATCTTGCCTAATCTTAGATTACATCTTTATTTTTTTGACCATGAAAACAACAATACTAGAAAACAAGCAGTGACTGATATGCCAGATATGAAGTTTATTTCTGGATGATTTGTCTTGATTATTTTGATTCTTTTTAGGCGCTTAACTTGCCAAGAAAGACTGCTTCATGTGGTAGTGAAGGAATAATTTGCTCTGTAAATACTTATCTGTGGCCAGTCTAATGCATCTTCACAGACTGGTCACATTTTAATAAATACTTTGTTTAAAATGTATAATAATACCTTCAAATAGTATACAAAATGTATCAACTACATACCTGCCACTGAGTTATTACATTTTTCAGTTGCTCAATTTCTGCATCTTTCTTTTCAAGCTCGAGCTTTAGTTGTTCTGTTTTTTCATCGTTCAAAACACTCTCCTATAAGCAAGAAAACATTACTTCTTAAGAATTTATTCACGTGCATTCGATTCTTGGGAAAGGCAACTTACTTGTTTGTTAGACAAGAGAATTTTTGATCAAAACTAAAGAGGTACATGTGCACAGATACCAAAAGAAACACAGCAATAAATATTGGCATTTTCTGTGAAGCAAAAATTATTTCAATCACAAGTGTTTTGTGTTAAGAAAATTAAGTCATTTAAATACCTCTTCAGATAGATAAAAAAATTACAGCGTTGTGGGTTTTAAAATTCTTTAAGATTATCATGCTTTTGATTTGTGCTTTCTTATGCTCAGATGCTCCCTTCTGATTATTGAATAAGCTTCATTAGGCAAACTTCTTCACTTCAGAATGACTGCTGTTTTACATGCCTGGTTGTGTTCATGCGATGTGCCGTTATCTGTTTCACTGTAATCAGTGAGCTGGACTCTCCTTTTCTCTCTTTCAAGTACTCTGTGAACATCGTCTTCCAGCCTGTTGAAAAATCCCCCATCATGCAACGAAGACTGGGAAGAGTTCAGTTCCTGTAAAAATAAGTACCATAACAACATGCCATCCTTTACATATAAGTTAATTTTGAGGTAGAAATCCACATGTTTAAAAACCAGCTTCAGTCATGGAAAAGCATTAAATCTAGATATTGGTTTATGTTGTACATCCTGAGAATACTGTGACTTCCACCTCAAGAAGGTGGAAGGACCTAGAAATTAATTAACAGTTAACGTTTAGCTGAGATTACATTAGCATTAACATTTAGATGAGATTACACAAAAGCATTAAGTTGGAATTTAATAATTTTGCACTATGACTACACTAATTTATTTTTTATTTCACTGTTAACTGTGCTCCCCTCTAAGAGTTTTAATATTAGTGGACTGCACCACAACTTAGTAGCATCACAGTACTTTATCTAATTTGTTTCTCTTTTTTTGTACTACAATTTGTATTTTTTAACATACTTTTAAATCTGCGAGTTTCATCAACGACTATCTGAAAAATAAAGAAGCAAGAGGTTGTTCCAAGAAAGCCAATACTAAGTTCTCAAGATACAAGAACTGCAGGCATACATCTCTATTAAACCTGCATCTGTAAAATTTTTCCAGATGGAAATCAGTGAGTTTCAGAACATATAAAACTGATTGTCGCTACCGAAAGTGCCAAAATAATTACCTTCTAAAAATAAAAGTTTTTTTTTATTATTAAACTAATTTGAGCAAGACTTACCTCATGTTTTTTAGCAAGGTTATCTGAAAAGAATAGAAAAAAATTACATTGATAAATTACTCAAATCTTGTACAGCCGGCTATTGAAAAAAAGACATTTTCAATACATGGGATTTTTCTCACACTTTTTGAGTTCTTCAACATTAAGTCTCCTCTCAAAGTAACAACAAAAAAAAGTCATGACTAAAGCATTAGAAGCCAAGATTATAAACTACGTATTACATCAATCCCTGTATTTGCATGTTCTCCCAGATATTTCAGACTATTAAATCAAAGCCGATATCCCGTATTCATTTGCTTCAGTGAAAGTGGAAGGCAATGTCTTTGGTACAGACACTTTAGGAATTTGTTGGTTTGTTTCTTTTTAAGTCTATTGAGGCTTTTATAGCATGTATCTCACTGTATACCTGAATGCCTTCCACGCCTTCCCGATTGCTCTGCTTTCAATCTTTTTCCTGTATTCAGATCATACGGAAATAATGCGTTTAATAAATACTGCAGATTTAGACAAAAACATCCTTAAAAGAAAAACCTTAGAAAACAAATTACTTTGTTCCTTTTCTAGCATCTACCTTGACTTCTTCACTAAAATTCAGAATCTCTGCTCTATAGACACAGATGAAGGAATTTTAAACATATAAATAATGCACATAATGAGCATATATAAGTCATTTCAATATTTACTCCTCTTAACAAAGGCCAGTATCATGAAGAAAGGCAAACAATGACTTGCTATTACCCAGGAAATGGAGGAACTCAGCTCCCTGAGGAGTGCAAACTTAGTAAAACAAAAAACCCCACTTAAATTAAAAAAAAAAAAAAAAAGTCACATTAAGAGTGTGTGAGTCCACCACCCACCTCAAGGATACTACATGAAATTATGTCTTCCTTCACCTCTTCTTTTTTTCCCTGCTAATCTAACTAGCCCATTATTATATAACGAACACTTAGCTTTTAGACTCAGTAGGACACACTAACTGTAACTGACAGTGTTTGTTTAAACACAGTATTAATGAACAGAGACAGAAGGGCATTTTGCTGTTAGCACACACACTATGAAAATTCCAAGGAGAACAGCTCATATGGTATGATAAGGCATACCTATATTACTGCCTGACTGAAAGTCTTTCAGAGACACAGTGAGAGGTTTGTCTTTTCCTTGCTGGTTCTTTTTCTTATTCACAGACTTTGCCTGAGGTGAAGCATTTTCAACGTTTTCATGTTCCTAGAAGAATAAAGTCCCACTAGTATAATTTTCTTCAATACCCAAATATTTTTTCCTGAAGTTTTATAAAGGAAAAAATATAGCAATAATGTACTAAAGGAGATTTTAGCCCAAACAGTAATTTGCAGGCTTCAGATTGGTTTAAAGACTGCAAGACATACCAGTAATTAAGCATTGATTCTGTTCTGAGAAGTAGAACATTGCTCTTCACTAAACAGCAAATGAACTATCAACCTAATACTTCCTCAATCACCTACATCAAATTTTATCCAGAAAATCATAAACTCTTATAAGAATATATGGTAGTGAAATGCAAGAAGGCAGAGTGCTACAGAATGCAGGTTAGTACTTTCTTTAAAAAAAGAGGTCTACTGTGTCTTCTTTTTATTCTCAAAATATGCTTACTAATTCAGTACAAGTCAGAGAGCTGTTAGTGTGCAGCAATGCTCTACCAAGTGACCTTACTCCTATTGAAATCAGACAGCCTGGTACATGGCAGCCATTTGAACCGGAATCCCACCTCCCCACATATCTACATTAACATTCTTAGCAAATTATCAGTTGTTAAAAATAATTTTTGATACTAATTAATTAAATATTTTAATATTTAAAATAATTTTAAATGTTAAATAATGTTAAGGAAAAAATTGTTATTTAAAAAGCCAAGATGGAAATGGAGTGCTTTTCTTCCCATAGAAACAAGATTTGTTCAGCATACTCGTGTACTGTATATTTTGAGTATATAGTATATATATTTTAATTACTGAGAGGTAATTCTCCAAAAGTCTACAAATGATGCTGTGCTACTACGCCTGAAGACCGTCTTCACTTTAAAAAAGAACTTTTAGTATGTAAGTTAAAAATTTATCCTTGGTGTTGAAGAACTATGGTACTCTCCCCCTAAAAAAAAAAAAAATGAAGTATTGTACAGAGATATTTGCACAAAAGTGCACATGCAATTTTTATTTCTCTATGATACATAATTGCAATTAAATTTCTGTATTTTCATAGCATTCCATTAGCTTATAATGTATTACAAGAAGCAACTTCTTGTTAGAAATAAAAATTTCATCTAAGCATAATTTTTCAGAACAATTCTTCAGTGTTCCAAAAGAACCGCTCAGAAAACATCATCTTGACCAGCTAAGAAAATGTATGCAGCTTATTAAAACTAAAATATTTACATTCAAACCAGAACAAAGATGTTAGCAAAAACGCAAATGATTCAACCATAACTAATATCTGAAGGCCTAAGGAGAAGTCAGTGCTTTGATCCTCTTACACTTCAAGTGTTCTGGATTTTTTGTGAGGAAGGTCACGATCTCTTTTTGTACTCTTAAAAATTTTAGAGCATTTATATGCCAGAAAATTGAAAAAGTAGAACAAATTTTCCACCTTTACAGGCCAATTAAAAAAAAACAAAAAACCACACACACAAAACCCAAACCACCGAGTACTATTATCTATGGTTTCTTTCAAATACAGTATTTCTCTGAACTCTTAAGCATCTGAACAGTGTAAGCAAACAATTTACATCAAGAAAATGGTACTTTTAGGAGATTTTTTTGCTTTATTTTTAGAATTCAAGCCTCAAACTTGTACAGCCTTTACATTAGGATGAATCCTGCAGATACCTTTTTGTGTTCTTCGTATTCCAGTTTGCTTAGCAGCAATGCTTTTTCAAGATCAGCTTCAAACATTTCAGATGTCAGCTGAAGAAACAAAATTAACGTATTTCATGTGACTGGATTGTTTAAAAAAAAAAAAGCAGATAAAACCACTAAGACCATGCTAAAATTTCAGTTTCATTACGCCTATCCCTACAATTGCCAAAATGCTAACTTTCACTGATGTGACATGTGGCATTATTAAGAGTTAATACATCTTTTTGTACCATAAGTAATAAAATGTCTTTCTGCAGGAAACTTTGTGATAGATGTAAGCATACAGTAAGTTGTGCACACCTTTATGCAATACAGTTACCATCTTGATGATTTGTTTACATGAGTTTTCTTTAAAACAATTTTTATTTTTAGTCTGAAACAGGAAAACCAGAGGATGTTAAAGGATGAAAATAGTTATTGTAGACCACGAGAAAGTCTAAGCACTCATCCATTGCATAGAAAAGATTAGGTTAAGCACACTTTATTTTTTTCTTAGAAGTACAGCAGAACTAAGAAAACCTCAATTATTTCAATGTATTTTCTCTTTCGTTTCTGAGAAAAGGAAGTACGTAAGTCTTTCTGGGAGATACAAAGAAAATTTGAAGCTTTCTAGGTAGGAGCTATTATGAAGAAGAACTAGGAACAAGATAGTAAGAACAAAGGATGGAACATCTGTTTTTTACTGAGTAATAGGAAGATAGGTATGTGCAGGGAAGTCCAGCTCCTGCTGCACAGAAGGTTGAAGGACTGACTTGAGAAGGCGAGTAACATCAAGAGCTCAATGAAGCCAAAATAAGAGATTTACCTAGAGGATACAGATGCTATAGTCGAGGTTGATAGTGGATAATCTAAAGGTATAAACAGCTAATAGCATATGTTACTGTTTACAGCAAAGTTAACCGAGATTAACTTGTTCTGAATGCAAAACTCTGTTCCTTCGAGGTCTACTGTCTTAAGGAACCACTACAATCCCACGTGATGTGCTGCCAAATGGAAGCCTTATTCTTCATCATAGTACTCTCCTTTTCATGCCCTTAACTGAAGTATTAATTAGTCAAAATAATTACTTTAACCATCATTTCCTTGTTCTTTGAATTTCAAATTGAGGTCATTTTTACACAGTAAAATAGTGCTCTCAGCATAAATTGCTACAAGATTCGACGTAGGCTTCAGAGTACTACCATTCCTAGCTCTGCGTTTGGTTTGTGGTTCAAGCTCAGCACCGACTGATGGCACTGGGCCTCGCTGGCAAGGTTTTTGTACCGGGAGAGGTGAGGAAAGGCAATGGACCGGCTGCCTCGGACCCTGATGGGCTGCAGGCACGGGCGGGAGCAGGGGCGGCTGGCAGACGGACCTTCACCAGGGCATGACTGGTGGAGGGGCCCCACGAAGGGACCCCATCTCCTGCAGCAGCCTGCAGTGAGGGGACTGGAGAACAAAATGGTAGTCTAGTAATGAGACTATTAAAATTATTTTTTACTCAAAATAATTGCTTCATACCACACAGAATTAAAAAACCTGCAAGTACCAAACAAAACAAATCTGTACCTTATAAAGTAATTCTGAAGTTAATTAGCTCTGAAAATTTTCAAAAGGATTATTAGGTCATTACTCCACTGGTAGGACAACTATCTAGAAGCCTGCAAAGTTAAGAACTCAGCTGTACTCTGTTTAAATATGCACCTATACCAAACCATTAGCAACATACAAAAAAATCAAGGACAGCATGCAAATATCAGTCGTCAATATGGCTGTCTGTATTGTGTCTTAATTCGAACATAAAGTAGTTCAATACCATATTTTTTAGTGAGACATAAATTGAAAATGTCTCTGTAAAAAAACCCAACATGCTAGGTGATACCAGCACAGAAGTTCAGCAACTTCATGAAACACTTTAACTCCAGTTCCTGTCACTTACAAGCAATTTGCCTTGAAAAAGTGTGTATGAAGTTAAATACTCTGAAGGGCATCTTCAAGCCTAACAACACAGCCCAAACTATCATCCACAGTGCATGAGTGCATAACAGACGATCCTTTAAGAGGAATCTAGGAAAAAAGTGTACCAAAACATTCCTCTAAGTACCATCTGCAAAAAAATGCACTAAAACAAATTAATTCTTTGTCCATCTATGCTATTTTGGCCTAAAATAGTTGAAGTACTGCAAACAATTCAGAACACCCACATAATTTAAAAACACCGTATAAGAAAACCATTATACATTCTTCAGTATCAAAAAGGAGCATTTTAAACGCTGATTTCATGTCAAGAACCGAAAAGGGTAATTTTAACTGTAAGTGCTCTTCCTAACTGACATCACAAGGACAGCAAACTATTGTATTTGTTCAAGGTGAAGATTATTTTACTGTTTTGGATTAAGTGCATTTTGCTGTGTAATTTCTGTTTGTGGTAGCTTTGGCAAGAAGACACACAATGAAAACGTTACACTGGCCTATACATATACAGGCACAGTCAGTCTTTGCTTTCTCTCCATTGTATTCGTCATGTGTTAACGAACACTACTAACAATATTGTTAACAAAAAGATCTTCTAATGTTAAAACACAGAGGTTCTTACACCAATAGGACTACCCTCGTGTGCTAAAGGACAGTCAGCACCCAGAGTTCAAGTGTTCTCTGTCACCTAGAAAGGAAGTAGTTATTTCACGCCTGACAACTTATCAAGCCTGGTTTACTATGGATCTGTACTGTATATCCATATATTGCTCCACCAAAACATCCCCAGCTTTTCTCCCACCACAGCATTTCATTGTCCTTCCGTGGCAGTACTTCTGCTTGTGGTCCACGTGATACAAATTGCTCTTACCATACTCCAGTATTCACAGTCCAGCTATGAGGTGTGTGAGAAAAGCAGCACGTGCTGACTCTAAACTATCTTGGACAGATGTGGTCTGAATTTCCACTGAAACCTTTCCTTCTGTGTGGCAGTATTTTGTTGCTTCCTCTCCAGCCATCTCTCTTTATCCATGAGATTTAACTTCACAGAGTAACGCATTTCTGGAAAGCCAAAGACAGCTAAATACAGTAAGCTGTACCTGCTCGTCTCTCTGTCTCCACTCCTGCCAGTTTTCTTCCTGAGAGTCCTTCTGCATTGCAGTGTGCAGTTTCTGTTCATGCTGAGATAGACAGCCTCCATGTGAGGATTTCTGAGGAATCTTTTTAAAAGCAAGGTTTCTCAGCTGAAAAAGAATTACTTTTATCATTAATCAAAATGGTAACAAGTACACAGAAACAGTCTTAACGGACTAACTGACTCAAGGCATTCAGACACGTGCAAATAGACACGCATGTGCTTTACCTTACTCTGTAGTTTGGCATACATTTTTGTTTAATCATTTATGGTACATACAATAATGTAAAATGATGAAAAACTGTAGATCAGAAACACCACATAACGTAACATAACCAGGTTCGAAGGGGGAAGGGGATATTGCCCAGCTCACTAGGGATGAGCCTAGGCTTGGCATGCCAAGGCCAGGGGTGAGACTGACAGCCCAGCTCAAGTGTGTTTACACCAATGCACGTAGCATGGGCAATAAACAGGAGGAGCTGGAAGCCATTATACAGCAGGACGGCCACGACTTGGTCGCCATCACAGAAACGTGGTGGGACAACTCGCATGACTGGCATGCTGTCATAGATGGCTACAGACTCTTTAGGAAAGACAGACCA